AAAAGTATTTTATTGTATTCACTTATTCAGTAAAAGAGGCCAATTAACGAAAACTCAAATCTTTCTGAAAACTCCTTAATGAGAGTTAAGAGCTAAAAGATAAAAGTCAGCTGGTGAGTTTCAATTCCCAGATATCTTAGAAGCACAGGCTGAGCATGAGCCTTCAGGGGATTGGGACAGGATAGGAGAATTGGGAGAGGCTGGCTTGGATCTGGAATCTCTCAGCACAGGCTACATGGAGGCTGGGCAGGATGAAGGCCTGTTGATCTGTGCAGATCCACTAGCATTCTGTGAATCACTGTCCTGCAGAGCCCTCAGGAACAACCTAGTGACTGTCGCTTCAAGCAGCTTTGCGGCCTGAGGAAGGGATACTCAGTTGGACGAGGGGCACTGGACTCGGCCCTGGGTGACTAACAACCATGGATTTAAACCCAATTATAGGGTTCGGGAGATGCACCTTGCCCTTTCATTTTTGATTCTCATTAGAACAGCATCCAGCTCTCACAGCTGAGCTGGACTGCAAAGCTGAGGCTAGGAAGCTGTTCAAAGACCCACAAATGGTAAAATCCCAGCAAGAGCCACATCAGTCAGGCCGCAGCAAAACTTTGTGACTGTCAGCGCGGTAAGGGATGTTAGAGGCATCATGCTGACAATGACAAAGCAGCTGGAGGAACATCCTTGAAAAGGTGTAAGCGAATTCCAGTACCAAAATAAAAATTACCAAGCATTGTTCCATCTCGGTCCATGCTATCTCATCCTTGAGTTTTGATTGATCTAAGCTGGAGAACAAACTATGAATAGCTATGAAGATCAAAGGGTTTTCTTTCATTAGAACATGCTTACATTTGTCTCCTTATGTGCTGTATATTGTAGGGCCTCACTGAACAGCAGTTAAAGATGCCTCACACACAACTGCAGAGCCACTAGAATTCTAGGCTTACGTTTATAGAAGTGACTACTGATTTTAGGTGCCTCAGGTTTTGGGAGCCCAACTTGAGATATCTGAAAGGGGTCTAATAGTCACAAAGTGCTCAGTGTGTACCTGTGATGAGGTGTGCTCCCCACACCTACCTTGAGAGAGTTGAATTAGGCCAGGTGGGCCCAATCAACCAATTAAGCTGCAAATGGGGGAGATTTAGGCTGTGTAGAGGGCGCTAATTAGTAGGAAGCTCATCTGTGAGGGAACAAGCAAGGCTCCTATCAAGCCAGGATTCTCGAGGGAAGAAGCCAGCAGTGTCTCTCCCTGAGGTAAGGGAGAAAGAAAGGGGGTAGAAACCCTGGTGCAGAGGGTCTTTGAAAGACTCCCCTGGAAGGGAAAAACACAGTGTGACCTGGCTGAAGGGCTGAGTCATGAAATGGCTGTATTACATCTCCATGAGCGGGAGGAGAGCGGCAATGATGGAAGAGAAGAAAGGAGGTGCTGAACTAGGTGGAGCTAATCCCCAGAACTGCCAGAAGGAAGACCCCCCATTGGTGAGTAGAGCACCCCATGACTCTTTACGGATGGGTAAATTGCAGTACCGAGTTGTTATGTTATTTCATCAACTTAATAGACCCAGTCAGCATCTAAGCCAGAAACCAAATGCAGGAATCCTTCTAGAGGCTTGCTCCAGCTACTGTCAATGGTGGACAACACTTCCAGACTGAACCTCCAGAGATCAATCACCAATACAAATTTAAGACTTCGCTACAATCACTGTGGGCACTTCTGAGCCAAGCCAGGAGATCAAACTCATTGTGGAGCGGCTCTGCTGAAGTCTGTGTACTGAACAGATCAACTCAACCAAAAGTACAATGGTGAGAAAAGCAAATAAAATCACCACCTCAATATCCCAATCCTACATTCTACTGGATCTATTGAGATCATTTGTCTGTCATCCTAGTGGGCAGGACAGAAATCTGCTGAAGGCCTGTTTGTGCAGTGACAATTATCAGTGGTCATTTGATAGTTCAAGTAGAAACATATTGCAATGTTTTCCTGAATAGTGACATATATCTGTCAGATACCCTTACCAAACTGCCAGTGTTATCTTCAAACTACTCAGTAAACCTTGGGCAATTCTGAAATATCATAACATTGGTTACCTGATATAAAGACCAGAGGAGAAGGCAACGACTTAGACACAAACTACTGACCTAGGCAATGTGCCTAGATCACAGAGTGGTGTCCCAGATACAGGACCACTGACTGGCAACACAGTTAATGAATCTTGACATTACAGGGATAATAAATGATGAGTCACATTTTAGACAAAAAGCCTATGTCAGCTGTCCAGGGTGAGGAAGACTCTCCTCTGACTTACTCCCCTGATATCCCAGCAGCTCAACAATACCCTGTAACACTTTGACAGTGTTATACCATTTGTAATTAAGCCACAGCAATAAACAGGAATTTTCTCAGTGCAAGGCACCTATTTGATTTCACATGCATGTGTACAAATGTAATTAGCTACAGATGTAAGTATTGCTAATAACAATAGGACTTGATGACACTATCTGCTTTGAAAACAACATGCGGTTTGGGAAGTAAATCTTAGCATTCCATCAAATATCTTAGTATGAACTGGTTAGATTTCTTGTGCTGGAGAGTGTGACTGATATTCTGTCGCTAACTGAGCCAGCTGAGGCTGACATCTCATCTGCTGTGTAGGCGGGGCTCCTTTTCACAGATATGAATAACTTCTTGAAGTTAGGAGTGACATTTTTTCTGAAGAGGGTTTATTAGAGAAATTAATCAGGATGGAGACTGCATCATGAAACCCTATAATTCTTTCTCAGATAAGCATCTGACTTGTTGGACTACTCAGCGTCCGTGTAATGTGAATTAATTTGCCAAGATACATAATATTGTTCCATGGTATAACTTTAGTAATAAATAAATATAATTTGGAATAAATGGAAAACTGCTTTCCCACACAGCAAATGGTGTCGGTGGAAAATAGTATATTTTCCTAAATATTACTAAATACTATAGTAAATGAGTGCTGCACTAAATTGATTGTGGATTTATAGAGGCAATAGGCAAACTCTGTACACTCCTAGCAAATGTCTTACATAAAGATGATGGATCAGAGTTCTCATCGGCTTACCCAGTGTTCATTTTTAAACCCAAATTCCTCTCAATTTTCTGCAACATTCTTACCCGACAGAAGACCTTGCCTCTAACACAACCCCAGGCTTATTATTGTTAAAATTATTTACTTGTACTGTGGTAGCACCAAGAGTCCTGGACCAGGACCCCCTTTTGCTAGGTGCTGTGTCCCAGTCCTAAGCACTAATCAATGCTCTATGCCTGTAGCCTGATCCCATTACCATCTTCCTCAGGGACACTAGGTAATCCAAAGTGCTGCCCTGATGGGTTGTTTTTATTTTTAATATCATACACTGTACATGATGCTGAGGAGAATAGGGAGCATTTGAGATCCCAGGCTAACACTTACACTGCAGTCTGATCAGAAACCAACTCTTATCAGTGAGACGCTAGAAGCTCACAACCCCTGGCAGAGGCTAGATGGGAGACTCTGATGTGAGCCTGAATTATGCTGAACAAACTAGTCACAGTGAACAGTTTAATGAAGGATTTATCCCCTGACTCTAGTAAGAAATTAGAACATGGGGTTTTTTTGTAGCTTTTTTTTTCAGATTTGCAGATTTTTACCAATACGTTAATTAACCATAATAACTTGAGGAATGTTGTAAGTGAACACGTTTCAGCACATGAATTGCTCAATTCGACTGTTTCATTGGGTATTCAGAACTTGGTGTGTCTGATCACCTAAGTCAAATGAAGTTGTTCCTACTCCTGAGGCCAAAAAGAGCTTCTGAGATGGCCCACACACATTTATCATCAACATGCATGCATATGTATCACAACATGGATAGTTACCGCATGTTCTCTGACTGAGAACATTCTTGCAAACACGCTTACTCAACAAATGTTCGTGAAGAGCAATTGAGAAGAGTCCTGAATAGAAATGAAAGGAATCGGTAGCTCTCATTGACACAAAGGTTTGTGATTTCTTTAGCAGAATTCTCCCAGCTTAACTTGCACTAAAGTAACCTTTGTGTCCAGTCTGCATGAGAAAAAAGTACTACTGTAAGGCAGAAAACAATTATGATAATGACTTCAGCAGGCGTTGCTGTATGCTTCTGTGTAATGAAAAACTGCATCTAAATCAGGGAAAGAATAGTGAAAACCAAACTCAGTTTTCTCCGCAGTCACCAAAGCTGAAACACCAACAATCTAGGTTGTTTGCATATTGTACTGTGTCAGAGTGCCACATTAATACATTGATTATTATTACACTTTTCAGGGATTGTTAAGACTTGCATGTTGCATATAGAATCTGTCTGCAGTTCAGAGCTAGCAACCACAGTGTGTATATGATTAGTGACATATTGTATGAAAGGGACTAGAAAGAAATATGTGAACAGCAAAATACTTTGTTGGACAAACACCCCAAAATCTGGACGCTTCTTGAGTTTGCAAAACCAGGCTGCAAATCTTGTTGGGCTAGTCTTTCCTGTGAGATTTCCTGTTGCTGATCAAACCAAAAATACTGCTATATTCCTGGGGAACCCAAGAAGGCAGAGGAAGATTTAAATACAGTAGAAAGAGTATACAGATGTTTTGCAAATCACAAAAAAAGTTTAGATCAAATTTCAGAAAAAAATTCAGGTCAGTTTTCATTTTATTCAAAGCTGTTCACCCACCTGTCCCTAACTGAAAATTGCTTAACTGTTTTGAAACCTGGACATTATACTATAATGTTCTCTTTAATTACTCCTTAATGATGATTGCAGCCTGGCAAAGCCAACACAATATGAAGCCTTCGTCAGACACTGCACCTTGTTTATATTGTGGCATTGTCCCGCAGTACCGTCTCCTCATTGGTGCCCATCATATAGGACACACCTCTGCCCTCGGCAATAGGTTTTTTGCTCTTACTTAGCCCAGATCAACAGTTAAAACAAAACCCTATCAGACAGACAGAAAATACCTGTAGTGTCTCCCATTAACTTAGGTGGACGGGCTTCTTTTCCATTGCTCTTGTGGCTGGTGTAGGGTTCCGTTGTGCTAATCCTGCCAGGGTTGTTCTTGTGTTTGTTAAGCCCTGGCACGGGTGATGCTGTGAACCCCTTAGACCGTACAGTGGTGGAAGTGGTGGTGGTGGTGGTTGCCACAGTAGTCGTTCTGGTTTGTAAAGCGGAAGTCGTGGTGGTGCCATAATTCCCAGGGAACGTACTGGTTTCCATGGAGTCCTCTTCCCCTGTTGGGCCCCATACAATTACTTCAGGCACCGTGGTGGGCCTCCTGTCTCTGTGATCAAAATTGCTTCCTCGGAGGTGCCTTTTCCCCCTTTTCAAAGGAGTCTGCTGGTCTGTACTCCTGCTGCTCCCATCTACAACAGAAGGGGCTGGTTTTGCAGTAGCAGAGTGCTTGGACTGCATGCTTTTATAAAAGCCTGCTAACTGGTCTGTGGCTTTGTGTGGCCTTTTTGAATGATATGTTTGTATTTGCCCATGAGATCGTTCCGGATGAGAAGAAACATGGTTCCAAAAAGGGCCAGGAATCCTCAGTTGCTGTCCATTTTTAAAACTCCACAAAGGACTATGGGACAATCTATGCCAGTGAGAAGGCCTTTGCAGGAGCCTAAACCCTTGGCCTTGGGCTACAGATTCACAGATGGTGAAATCCATGGCTAGTTGAAACATGGCTATTAATATCCAAGCATGGCTTCCTACCGGGCAACCTGACCTGCGGACAGACATCGAACTGTATTAGAAAAAGAGAAAGAAAATGATTTATGTAACAGATTACAATGCAATGTTTGTGTATCTATTAGAGTAGCATGCCAGGTTTACCCATGTTGAGAAGAAAAATCTGATAACCAGACCAGAAGAAACATAATGAAAATGACTTCTGTAGCTTCAAAAGAATAAGCCATCTGCTTTTCTACATATTAAGGGCAACATTTTCAGAACTGACCTCAAGGTGTCTTAAGTTGAACCCCCAAAACTTGGGGCATCCAAAATCAATGTCCAGTTTTGAAATTTTGGCCTAAATATTTTTTTAAGTAGGGGTATGAAACAGGAACAGTACACTGCCATGCTTTGAATGACTCAAGAATGGATTCTACTTTGAAAAGTCCTTAGCAATATGTCCAGTGTGTGTGCATTTCTGACCTCAGCATTCTTAGCTGAACTGTATATTAGCTAGATACAGTATATAACCCATAGTCATGCTCCCAACAGCCTGTCTCTTTATTCACAAACTTAAATCTAACTCGAGTGGTTAGAGGCATTTCCAGTCATGGCCGGGTTGAGAAGCAGACTCATGTTACTAATCCTGGCATAAAAGGCTTGACTTCATTAACCCAAATCTACCTTTAAAGTCCAGATCCTGCAACCGATGGTGTGCACAGACACCTGGGCCTCACTGACTTCAAGGATACTCCACGCTGCTTGTATGAAACACATTGCAAATTTGGGGCTGCCTTTGTAGTTATGAAGAATAAACATTTCACTTGCTGGTAAGATGTCTCCCCCGGCTTTCTGTGTAATTAATTAATTATCAATGTACAGATTCACACCAGAAACGTTCAATAACAGTGCCTTAACAGGAGTCATTTTCATTCTCTTCCCTGCCTTTAAATATGTTTATCTATAAATTCATATATTTTAATTTTTGCATCTCAAATGCAGGTTTTCCATATCAAATTCTTTTTTTCTACATAAAACAAAAAACCTTTCCCTACGTCTCCTTCTTATTTATCTACCTGGAGTCCATGCCCATTAGAAGTAAGGAGATGAGACAATTAAATAAGAAGGTCAGCAGCAAGAGTTTTCTGAACTCAAAGACAGAAAATATATCAATGTACAACAAATTACTTTTTCTGAAACTTCAGGGTTGAATCCAGTAAGATGAAATTCTCTCTCTCTCACACACACACACACAAATTGACTGATCCATTTTCCCTACCTGCAGCATTCTCACAAGCTCCCAAAGTAGACCTGACATTACATGCTAATTAAATCCAATCCCAAATCCAGGCCACTAAAGCCATAAGGAAAGTAGCCCACAGGAAATGAAACCTCATTCTTCTGCAGAACATCAGTGGTGCTGATCTTCAGGAACTGTGCTGTCAGCAATGTTCAAATTGGCATGGCAACATTCTAGAGCTGGGTACATACCTAACTTCATTCAAAATACAGATACCAATAGCTATGCCAGGGACAGTCTAGCAAGAGTACCAAGCTAAATGCTGAGGCTACAGTGTGCCATGTATACAAGTACAGTTCCAATACACAGCTTTAAAACAACATAACATTATATTAATGATGCGTTTAGTTTCCTTATGGGATCATGTTTATATCCTTCAACCTCTATTGTCAACAGCATCTAGGAAAATTGACTTAATGGGTCACTTCTCTCCTTTCTGTGATGACGTGATCTTGGAATAAAAGGGTCTGTGTTTCCTTTTTACATTGCACCTCCACGGAGCTGTAAAACATTTTATGAAATGAAACAGAACGAGACGGGACAGAAAAATAGATGAACTACAGCCTGCTGACTGTCCATAACGAATGGCCAGATCTGGCATGATCAGAGAGGTATACAGAGTTAACACAAAACAGGCCAGGGAACTGACAATATTCTATGTGATGTTTTCTTTTTCTTAAGGAAGTGCATGGAATGCAAATTTGTTAATCAGCTCCAGGCTAAGAGTGGCTGCACTCTTGCTCCTCATGTGTAACCCACTGTTATGAACCAGGTGCTTCAAACAGAGCAGCTATCTCCGGAGTTCATTTACCAGGCTGACCTGCTTGGCTAAGCACTGCACTTCACTGTATATTACATCATTAACTACCAGTTTATGTCCCTGCAGTACACCCTGCGCTCTAGGTTTTATTAAGGGGTCTGGTATATTACAGACAATAAAGAAAGTGCAGTGGGGTGCACTTCAATTTTAATTAGTCTTTTTACATAAAACGAAGAGCTGCACCTCGCATTGAATTGTCACCATAAGTCACTTTTTTATTTTGAGCTGATTTAAAATACTCAGACTTTCTTTCATATTGAAGCATTGCTTCTTCTCCACTTTTATTCCAGGACTACAAAATTCTGAGTTTTAACCTGCCCCCCGCCACTAAAGTTTTACTTAACTAATCTAAAGTAGTTTGCTAAAATGATAATCAGCGCAATGTCTTAGATACATGCCCATATCCTTTTCTCTAAAGAATCATTGGGCCAAATCATAGATTCATAGATTCCAAGGCCAGAAGGAACCATTGTGATCCTCTAGTCTGACCTCCTGTAGAACATGAGCCACAGAACTTCCCCAGGATAATTCTGAGGGCAGATCTGTTAGAGAAACATCCAATCTTGATTTTAAAATGACCAGTGATGCAGAATCCAGCACGACCCTTGGTAAGCACTTCCAGTGGTTAATTACTCTTACCGTTAAAACTCCTGAAATCCTTAATTTTATACAGCATTTACCCAAGGAAAGCTGGGACTGAAGTCAGTGGGAGTTAATGGATGCCTTTCATGAATAGATGGACTAACCCTTTCCTGCCTGACATCCTGTGCAGTCATTCATGCCAGTGCAAAGCAGAGGCGAATACCTACCATTCTCTTCTGGTAACACTCTGAAACCCACGTGGTGCCTGAGTAAATGAAGGTAGATAAGACTAAGGCCCAGACACTCAGAAACACAGTCCACCACTGGTTTAAAAAGCTACCTCTCTGTGTAGGGCCATATTTTCCAAATCACATCCTCCTCCTCTTTCTTAGAAGTCACTGTACTTGCAAACAGAGCTGGTCAAAACTTTTCATTCAAAACTTTTGTCTTCTTTAATCTTTCCAATTATTCAACAGAAAAATGGAACACCCCCCAAATGTAAGGCTGAAGGGACCTTGAGAGGTCAGAGCAAAATTCACGACAATTTTTAGACGTGATTTAGATGCTCTGCCCTCATGCTTTGCCCCCACAACTGAAACACAAGCACAAATCTGAGTCCTTTCACCTCTGAGTACCTGATCATGCCCCATTCTCTTTGGCTGAAATAAGGAGAAAATGGAACAAAAAACTGTGAAAGGAACAAGGCAGTGAAATGAGGGAACTCCAAAAAACCCAAAGAGAGTTCATTTGGGGGGGCGTTCCATTTTTCTATGATTCTAAGACCACCGGAAAAGCAGAGGGGAGGGCATTACAACAGCTGACCAGCAGGGATGGGCAGAATAATGAAAATGCCTTAAAGAGAGACAAGAAGCTTGGCTCTGATGTGGTGGAGAATGGGAAGTCAGAGCAGAGATTCAAAGCAGGTGAAGCGGTATGGTTAGAGCAGCGCTCTGAAGTAACACTCAGTGCAATAGGAGGAAAGACAAAGGGAGCCGCCAAACCATCCCCGGGTCTTCACAGTGGCTGCTGCATTATACCAGCCCGCCTCTGGATGGCTGGACCATCCTGCAGACTTGGAATGGCAGATGTAGCCTTTCCCCTCCAAGTCACTGGTGTGAGCCCAGCTCTCGCCAGCAGCAATACAAGCGGTTCTTATCTGCGGGCTGTTTGGCAGAGCATGCCAAAGGAGCTAGTCAGCTCTGCCCAGCTCCTTGTAGACACGCCCAAATCAGATTAAAAACCACAGTACAACTGGCACCAGATGCCCCCTTGCTGCAGAGAAGCCAAGGACGGAATGGGCAGGGGAGATAGAATTCCTGTCTCACACCTATGCGTGGCCCCTGCTGCGGAGAGGAAGCCTGTTCTATGGGTCTCTAGGGGTGGTGTCTTTTTCCCAAAACTCAGTTCAGTTTTATTGTTTTTTCCATTTGTTTTCCATACAGTAAACTGATTCCTGACTCTCTGAGAGATTTCAGGAAATGACTGCACACTCACCAGCTTTCCTCGTGTTCTCTGCACTAAGCGGCAAACTCTTTGAGACGGCTGAATTCACAGTCTGATAGAAGTATATCTCACAGCACATAATGGAGCTACTGGCCAGAGTTGTTGTTTTGTTATCAGAAAAGTTCAAATCTGTTACTTTATTCATCATACATTTTTATGGGATGTGTACCAGGGTTTGTTCTCTGGAGTTAAACATGCAGCATGGTCCCCTGCTGGATTTTCAAAGCCTAGGTTTACCATACCTGCTATGTGAAAGTAATTGTATTCCAGCATAAGGGCCATTTCCCATATGCTGCATGTCTGTGGCTCAGTCGGTAACACCCACTCTCTGCTGGTTAGAAGCCAGGAGTTCAGTTTTCCAATGAGAACATTAAACACAGATTCACCTTAATAATATTCACAGCCCTGCCGTCATTCTACTGGCATGTCAGACTCCATTTCGGTCTTTGTCTAACTTTTTAATATGATTTGGAATTTCTCCTTGCTAGGAATGAAAGATGCAGTCTGCCTTCCTTGACAACATATCCCGCTGAAGAAGTACATTCTTATGTCCTGTGCACACAAACACACATACACAGTCACTCGCTGTTTGGCTGTTTCTCAAGAAGAAAACAGGATGCGAATGATGTGCTTTTGTTAGTAGCCTGTAAATGCTGACAGCCAAGCACAGTCCAACCATACTCTGATTGTGGCCACACTTCAGCTGCAGTGTTTGATCTTCCCAATTACCCATTCAAACTCTCCCTGGTTTTGGGTTCACAGCCTACAAGAATATGGTATATTCTACACTCCTCATATTTCCCTTGTTCTTTTGTCACATGACCAAGCTGAAATAATAGGGCCGGGTCCTCAGCTCACGTAAATCAGC